GGCTCTATCTCTCGTAGTTTCCGAGATAATCGCGAAAAACGAAAGTGCCAACAAAATTAATTTAATTTATCTTGTATAAGGTGTAGGAAGTGGAAAACCGCAATTCTGAGCCGTCTAACCGCCTATAGGGGACACAAATTTGGTTTTAAGGCTCTATCTCTCGTAGTTTCCGAGATAATCGCGAAAAACGAAAGTGCCAACAAAATTAATTTAATTTATCTTGTATAAGGTGTAGGAAGTGGAAAACCGCAATTCTGAGCCGTCTAACCGCCTATAGGGGACACAAATTTGGTTTTAAGGCTCTATCTCTCGTAGTTTCCGAGATAATCGCGAAAAACGAAAGTGCCAACAAAATTAATTTAATTTATCTTGTATAAGGTGTAGGAAGTGGAAAACCGCAATTCTGAGCCGTCTAACCGCCTATAGGGGACACAAATTTGGTTTTAAGGCTCTATCTCTCGTAGTTTCCGAGATAATCGCGAAAAACGAAAGTGCCAACAAAATTAATTTAATTTATCTTGTATAAGGTGTAGGAAGTGGAAAACCGCAATTCTGAGCCGTCTAACCGCCTATAGGGGACACAAATTTGGTTTTAAGGCTCTATCTCTCGTAGTTTCCGAGATAATCGCGAAAAACGAAAGTGCCAACAAAATTAATTTAATTTATCTTGTATAAGGTGTAGGAAGTGGAAAACCGCAATTCTGAGCCGTCTAACCGCCTATAGGGGACACAAATTTGGTTTTAAGGCTCTATCTCTCGTAGTTTCCGAGATAATCGCGAAAAACGAAAGTGCCAACAAAATTAATTTAATTTATCTTGTATAAGGTGTAGGAAGTGGAAAACCGCAATTCTGAGCCGTCTAACCGCCTATAGGGGACACAAATTTGGTTTTAAGGCTCTATCTCTCGTAGTTTCCGAGATAATCGCGAAAAACGAAAGTGCCAACAAAATTAATTTAATTTATCTTGTATAAGGTGTAGGAAGTGGAAAACCGCAATTCTGAGCCGTCTAACCGCCTATAGGGGACACAAATTTGGTTTTAAGGCTCTATCTCTCGTAGTTTCCGAGATAATCGCGAAAAACGAAAGTGCCAACAAAATTAATTTAATTTATCTTGTATAAGGTGTAGGAAGTGGAAAACCGCAATTCTGAGCCGTCTAACCGCCTATAGGGGACACAAATTTGGTTTTAAGGCTCTATCTCTCGTAGTTTCCGAGATAATCGCGAAAAACGAAAGTGCCAACAAAATTAATTTAATTTATCTTGTATAAGGTGTAGGAAGTGGAAAACCGCAATTCTGAGCCGTCTAACCGCCTATAGGGGACACAAATTTGGTTTTAAGGCTCTATCTCTCGTAGTTTCCGAGATAATCGCGAAAAACGAAAGTGCCAACAAAATTAATTTAATTTATCTTGTATAAGGTGTAGGAAGTGGAAAACCGCAATTCTGAGCCGTCTAACCGCCTATAGGGGACACAAATTTGGTTTTAAGGCTCTATCTCTCGTAGTTTCCGAGATAATCGCGAAAAACGAAAGTGCCAACAAAATTAATTTAATTTATCTTGTATAAGGTGTAGGAAGTGGAAAACCGCAATTCTGAGCCGTCTAACCGCCTATAGGGGACACAAATTTGGTTTTAAGGCTCTATCTCTCGTAGTTTCCGAGATAATCGCGAAAAACGAAAGTGCCAACAAAATTAATTTAATTTATCTTGTATAAGGTGTAGGAAGTGGAAAACCGCAATTCTGAGCCGTCTAACCGCCTATAGGGGACACAAATTTGGTTTTAAGGCTCTATCTCTCGTAGTTTCCGAGATAATCGCGAAAAACGAAAGTGCCAACAAAATTAATTTAATTTATCTTGTATAAGGTGTAGGAAGTGGAAAACCGCAATTCTGAGCCGTCTAACCGCCTATAGGGGACACAAATTTGGTTTTAAGGCTCTATCTCTCGTAGTTTCCGAGATAATCGCGAAAAACGAAAGTGCCAACAAAATTAATTTAATTTATCTTGTATAAGGTGTAGGAAGTGGAAAACCGCAATTCTGAGCCGTCTAACCGCCTATAGGGGACACAAATTTGGTTTTAAGGCTCTATCTCTCGTAGTTTCCGAGATAATCGCGAAAAACGAAAGTGCCAACAAAATTAATTTAATTTATCTTGTATAAGGTGTAGGAAGTGGAAAACCGCAATTCTGAGCCGTCTAACCGCCTATAGGGGACACAAATTTGGTTTTAAGGCTCTATCTCTCGTAGTTTCCGAGATAATCGCGAAAAACGAAAGTGCCAACAAAATTAATTTAATTTATCTTGTATAAGGTGTAGGAAGTGGAAAACCGCAATTCTGAGCCGTCTAACCGCCTATAGGGGACACAAATTTGGTTTTAAGGCTCTATCTCTCGTAGTTTCCGAGATAATCGCGAAAAACGAAAGTGCCAACAAAATTAATTTAATTTATCTTGTATAAGGTGTAGGAAGTGGAAAACCGCAATTCTGAGCCGTCCATCTGCCTATAGGGGACCCAAATTTGGTTTTAAGTTTCTATCGCTCATAGTTTCCGAAATAATCGCGAAAAACCAAATCGCCAAAAAAAATTAATTTAATTTATTTTGTATATGGTGTAGGTAGTGGAAAAACGCAATTCTGAGCCGTCCATCGGAGAAGTGAATTTTTAATTCGCGGGCGAATGGCGAAAAGTCACCGCGCCGCGAAACAATGATTTTTCTTACTGGCCCATGACTTTCATGGTAGTTTTAATTTTTTTGTTACAGAGATTAAGGGATGAAAGAAGGTTAATTGGTGGGCAATTTAATTCTCCGTCGAACTGCCATTTTATCATCCTTTAATCTCAATTGGGAGGGGAGAGGTCAATTTTCAATTCGCGGGCGAATGGTGAAAAGTCATTGTCCGCCGAGAAGAAAATTATTTTTCCCACTGGCCCATGACTTTTGTCGTAGTTTGTATTCTTTTCTTACAGAGATTAAGGGATGCAACGGGGATCGATTGATGGGGAATTTAATTCTCCATCACACCGTCTGTGTTTCATTCCTTAATATTAATTAGCCAGCAAATGAATCACCTGAAAAACATTAAGAGCATGTTGACGTCGAGGAGGGCATAAGTTCCCCTCCGAAACTATCCCTGTGACAGCGGGACTGCTAGGGCTATTCATCCGGAAGTAATGGGTCACAAGGTTTAAATTAAAGGTCAGTGTTACGGTCGAAATAATAGTCATAAGGGTCAGTTCAAGGTCACGAGGGTAAATTAAAGGTTACACTGGTCAGATTAAGGGTTACAAGGCCAGAATATCCTTCTGTATTTGAACAAATCCAAATCGACTTCCGGTGATGAAAATTTGGCACTCGAAATTAAGACATCAAAATTAAGGGTGGAAATAAGGGTCGCAAGGGTCAGAGNCAATTCATCTTGTATAGGGTCTAGGGAGTCGAAAAAGGCAATTCTGAGTCATCCATCTGCCTAAAGGGAACCCAAATTTCCTCAGGAATCGAATGGAATAAGTTTTAAGGCTCTATCTCTCATAGTTTCCGAGATAATCGCGAAAAACGAAAGTGACAAAAAAAATTAATTTAATTCATCTTGTATAGGGCCTAGGAAGTGGAAAAACGCAATTCTGAGCCGTCCATCTGCCTAAAGGGTACCCAAATTTCCTCAGGAATCGAATGGAATAAGTTTTAAGGCTCTATCTCTCATAGTTTCCGAGATAGTCGCGAAAAACGAAAGTGCCAAAAAAAATTAATTTAATTCATCTGGTAGAGGGTGTAGGAAGTGGAAAAACGCAATTCTGAGCCGTCCATCTGCCTATAGGGGACCCAAATTTGGTTTTAAGTTTCTATCGCTCATAGTTTCCGAAATAATCGCGAAAAACCAAATCGCCAAAAAAAATTAATTTAATTTATTTTGTATATGGTGTAGGTAGTGGAAAAACGCAATTCTGAGCCGTCCATCGGAGAAGTGAATTTTTAATTCGCGGGCGAATGGCGAAAAGTCACCGCGCCGCGAAACAATGATTTTTCTTACTGGCCCATGACTTTCATGGTAGTTTTAATTTTTTTGTTACAGAGATTAAGGGATGAAAGAAGGTTAATTGGTGGGCAATTTAATTCTCCGTCGAACTGCCATTTTATCATCCTTTAATCTCAATTGGGAGGGGAGAGGTCAATTTTCAATTCGCGGGCGAATGGTGAAAAGTCATTGTCCGCCGAGAAGAAAATTATTTTTCCCACTGGCCCATGACTTTTGTCGTAGTTTGTATTCTTTTCTTACAGAGATTAAGGGATGCAACGGGGATCGATTGATGGGGAATTTAATTCTCCATCACACCGTCTGTGTTTCATTCCTTAATATTAATTAGCCAGCAAATGAATCACCTGAAAAACATTAAGAGCATGTTGACGTCGAGGAGGGCATAAGTTCCCCTCCGAAACTATCCCTGTGACAGCGGGACTGCTAGGGCTATTCATCCGGAAGTAATGGGTCACAAGGTTTAAATTAAAGGTCAGTGTTACGGTCGAAATAATAGTCATAAGGGTCAGTTCAAGGTCACGAGGGTAAATTAAAGGTTACACTGGTCAGATTAAGGGTTACAAGGCCAGAATATCCTTCTGTATTTGAACAAATCCAAATCGACTTCCGGTGATGAAAATTTGGCACTCGAAATTAAGACATCAAAATTAAGGGTGGAAATAAGGGTCGCAAGGGTCAGAGTACGTGTGACGAGGGTCAAAATAAGAACCTAAGGGTCCAGTTAAGGGTCGAAATAAGGGTCATGAAGTTTATTACGACGGTCAAATTAAGTCTCCAAATAAGGGTCACAAGCGTCAGATTAAAGGGCACGAGGATGAAAATAAGCGTCACGAGGGTCCAAATAATGGTCATGGGGCTATTCATTATGTAATATTTTTTTCATTTTAATATTTTTTTCATTCGCATTACAAATTAGTTGTTTTTTAATTCAACAGAGATGTCGCCACATGGGATTTCTCATTATAGTAGTCAAGTACCAAAATGTCAGACATCGACAAATGGATTGAAATCGCAAAAGAGTGCAAATACTTGCCGGAAAATGATCTCAAGGTAAACGAGATAATTTTCAACAAAATGGGGATTAAATTTTGCCCCTGAAAAATTTAAAAGCCACGGATTTCACTCGATTTCGGGGGATTTTGGGGGCATTTTAAAGGCGCGATTTAGGTTATCCCAATTTGTTTGGAGAACCAAGTTATTAATTAGGGTTTTGACTTTTTAATCAGAAACTCTGTGACATTGTGTCCGACCTACTGCTGGAGGAGTCCAATATTCAACCGGTGTCGACTCCGGTGACTGTCTGCGGAGACATTCATGGACAGGTAATCCAGGGATAACTTAACCTCAATGACATTTTTGTTATTGACGGGTTTTTATGCTTTATCACCAGTCTCAACGCCTACTTCCGGTTTATAATTCATGTTTTAGACATTTTTATTGCAAAAAAAGTCCTCATGACTTCGATCTAATGGTTTTGAAGTGAAAACATTTTTTTTGTATTTTTTGTTTCTGTTTTTCGACGTTTTTTGAGTTGGAAGTTGGTGAATTCACTTTAATGTGGATTTATCTCGGTAAGGAGCGGGTTTATGGGAAAATGTCAGTAGATATTTTTAGTAGAGAATTAAATTTCCTACAGAAAAGTTATCTATCATTTTGCTGTAAAATCAATCGTTACTTCGATAATTACGTGATTAACAGTTGATTAAAAATGAAATTTTGAGTCAAGTAATTTTTTTTTCACTTGTTAATTGCTCAATTATTTCATTAATGACTGGGTTTAGAGAAAAATGTCTAAAAATATTTTTTGTGGAGAATTAAATTTCTTACAGAACAGTTATGTGTCATTTTGCTGTAAAATCGATTGTTACTGAAATAATTACATGATAAACAGTTGATTAAAAATGAAATTTTAAGTCAAATAATTTTTTTAATGAAAGTTATTTTTTATTGCAGTTCTACGATCTAGAAGAGTTATTTCGCAATGGAGGTCCTGTGCCTGACACGAATTACATATTTATGGGTGACTTTGTAGACCGGGGGTACTATAGCTTAGAGACATTTACGCGGTTGTTAACACTCAAGGCAAAATGGTCAGACAGGATAACACTGTTGCGAGGGAATCACGAGTCGAGACAGATAACTCAAGTTTACGGATTTTACGGTAATTTTTTTTATTATTCAAATTTCAGAGCTCAGATATACTTTTGGAATATCTCTTTGACCCTCAAGACCCTTCAGATTCTCCGAAAGAGTAAAATCTACTCAAAAAATTCTCTCATAGATTCTTTTAATTAACAATTATTTTTTCAGACGAGTGTGAGATGAAATATGGTAATGCCAATCCTTGGAAATACTGCTGCAGGGTGTTTGATTTACTTACAATAGCTGCCGTAAGCATCTAGAAGCTATTCACATTTTTTAAAATTTTTGCTACCGAATGGAAGTTTTGTAATCACTCAATTATAAGTTTCCAATTTTTTATGGAAACTTGAGACCTTTTTTTGAAATTTTCTCATAAAGGATCAATCGAATTTCATGAATTTTGCCATGAATATAGACTTTAATCAGCCCTATTCATTGACACCGATAAAAGTTCAATTATTCTTACAGATTCGAAAAAATTGACATTTTTCCGAAAATCGATTTTTCAACGATCACTCAAAAATTGTCATCAAAATGGAATTAGTGGTGGCTCAAAAAATTAATAACTATACCCTCTTGATTCTATCAGAATATGATGGGGTTCGCACAATTGGTGGTTGAGTTACAGCACATTGCTCATGCGATTTGAAAGAGAAAATCGGTTATTTCATGATTACTGAAAGAATCATCAGTAATAGCAATTAAATCAGGGATTGAAAAGTACATTTCAATGGCTTCTTAATCAAGTTGAAAAATGGTGAGAACAGGCAGCAGTCTATTATGTTAAATACTTATTCATATTGATTCATGGTCCCGACTAACTTCTGACAGAACCTGTGTTAAACTCTGGCTAAATCCTGAATAGACCCTGATTAAATGCCGGCTATACACTGATTAAACCTTGATTGAACCTTGATTAAACCCGGACTGAAAACGAATTCGAGTCTTGAGAGGATCTGAATGTCGAATTATTTGCCAGAACGAAATTCACTGCAAAATTTTGATGACATTTCAATTGATGACAGTACTATGACATGAAAAAATAGAAGAAGAAAATAGTTAAATGTGCATTTAAAAAAACAGAAGTCATTCGGAAGCAAATTGCTCATTTATGCAATTGTCCACTTGTTAAAATAAAATAATAAGATTGATTCTGGGTTCCAGTTAATTGATGAACAAGTTTTATGTGTCCACGGTGGCCTGTCTCCGGCGATAAGAACCCTAGATCAAATAAGAACGATCGAGAGGAATCAGGAGGTACCACACAAGGGCGCCTTCTGCGATCTACTCTGGTCTGATCCAGAGGACGTGGACTCGTGGTCTGTTAGCCCTAGGGGTGCTGGGTGGCTCTTTGGGGCCAAGGTCACACACAAATTCATGGAAATTAATGACCTAAAACTTATATGTAGAGCTCATCAATTAGTGCATGAAGGTAAATGACGGAATGATTGTTTTTTTTTCTTTTTTTTTCTATTCTTCACTGAATTTCGAAGACATAAAAGTCATTTAATAGATTTTTAGCATCCATTCATGATTTTCTTTCATTGATGTGAATTTTTAATCAATTTTTATGAAGAATTGATGGAAAGAATTGATAATCATCGAAGTTCAATTCATTTTATTTCATACCAATCCTTTTTATAAAACTGAACGTAAGTCCATAATTTTTTTGATGATTTTATGTAAAAAAATTAACTTTTTTTTGAAGATTTCCCGGGATTGTTTTGAATTTTAAATAAATTTTTTCGTAAACTTGATGAAAAAAAAAATATTTTTTATGAATTGAAATGAAAATTCTCATCGACGATTTTCTCTAGTTCTTTGGAATTTGAAATGAATTTTCATGACATTTCAATGAATTTAGTTCTGTAATTTCTTGGAATAAATGAATTTACATTTTTTTTCTCAACAGGATATAGATACATGTTCGATGATAAACTAGTAACCGTATGGTCAGCCCCAAACTACTGCTACAGATGTGGTAACGTAGCTAGTATACTTCAGTTTGACTCAGTCGACGACAGAACCACAGTTTTATTCCAAGCAGTACCAGACGCTGAGCGTGTTATTCCAACATTAACAATCACCCCATATTTCTTGTGATCAGACACACTGTATCGTCTGTTTGAATGCAGAGAATGGAAGTACAACTGAATTCACACGAACATTTTTCGATTAACTGGATCAATCGAGTGGTAAATTCCCCCAGTTATCGACGAATATCTTTGAAACCAATGGAGATGGCAAAATTTGCGTTATAACTTTTTTTGTAGCTCTGACTTTTCCCTACAAAAACGGTCTGAACGATCATTTTCGCATCTCCAACAGATTCCGAGATTTTCACGAAAAACTCATCGAGGAAAATCGTTTTGCCACTGGACAAAGAGGAAAGAAATTCTGGAAATCAATCGAAAAACACTGACATGGCGTGAGGGAATATTAAATACCAAAAACTGGAAGAACATTGTGCAAACAGTTCACTTCAATTATCAAATTTTTAAGCATCTGAATTACAAAGACAAAATTTCAGGGAAATAATTCCTTTTTAATTAATTTTTAATGCAGTTTTCAAATTTTTGAGGGAAATAGAGTCATTGATTTATTGTGTTTTATTTTTTGTAATTGCGTCAATGTTAGTGAATTTATTTGTGGATTTTAAATTAAGTATTGGGGGTTTGAGCGAGTTTTTATGAGATTTTTTGGATGGAAGAGGTTTTAGCCAGCGTGCAAGGTGCAAAGATTATGATAAGATCGACGCAATAAAGTGATTGGAGGAGATAAGATGAGAATGAGAGATTTGGAGATGATTTTTGTGGGCTATAGGGTTTGGGATTAAATGGACAATTTTTCTGCGAGAATTTCTTTTGACACTTTGTGCTGAGTGGTTTTGTTAATGAGATGATTACGTAATTGATGGAGATTTTATGTTTTAAAATTCGTATTGTTGATTGTTGGGAGAAGAAAAATTGTCGAATGAGTTTTCGTGGAGAATTACAAGGGCTAACGGAGAATTTCTGTTGCCATTTTCTTGAAAGATCTAGTCATGAAACAAATCAAGGAGATTCATTAAATCCTCTGTAATTGAATGGTTTAGAGGGTCAAACGGGGGTTGAGGGTCAAATGACCCTTTCTGGTAACTATGATTTAATCCAGTTGACCCTTAAGACCTTTTGACTGAAATGATTTTTTTCTCTTGGTAGTTGAGGGTCAAACGACCCTTAAGGACGTTTGGGGTCAAGGGTCAAATTGTTTGAGGGTCAAACGACCCTTGAGGAAGATTCGAATTGGCGGTAAATTTGTCTTAAGGGTCAAACGATCATTGAAAACGTGAAAAGTTGAGGGTCAAATGACCCTTTTTGATCAGTCTGTTACCCATTTGACCCTGAAGACCATTTGACCCTCAACTCCAAGTCTTCCAGGATCGTTTAACCATCAAGGCGATTTCTTTCAGTTTTTCATTGAGGGTCAATGGGTCTTGACGGTCAGACGACCCGTAAGGTCATCGGAGTCAAGGGTGAAATTGTCCTAAAGGTCAAATGACCCTTAAAGACCTGCAGAATTAAGTTCGAACGACCCTATCTGATGACTCTGTTTTGAGGGTCAAACGACCCTTGAGGAAGATTCGAATTGGCGGTAAATTTGTCTTAAGGGTCAAACGATCATTGAAAACGTGAAAAGTTGAGGGTCAAATGACCCTTTTTGATCAGTCTTCCAGGATCGTTTAACCATCAAGGCGATTTCTTTCAGTTTTTCATTGAGGGTCAATGGGTCTTGACGGTCAGACGACCCGTAAGGTCATCGGAGTCAAGGGTGAAATTGTCCTAAAGGTCAAATGACCCTTAAAGACCTGCAGAATTAAGTTCGAACGACCCTATCTGATGACTCTGTTTTAACCCGTTTGACCCTCAAAACCAGGAAGGGGGACTACTTAGCACATTTCAGCTGTTTTTTTAGTTGAAGGTCAAACGACCCTTTGTGACGTTCGGGGCTAAGGGTCAAATGGTCGTAAGTGTCAAATGACCCTTGCGGAGGATTAGAGCTAGAGGTAAAATTGTCTTAAGGGTCAAATGACCATTAAAAACGTATCTTTCTGATCACTCTGTTCGAACCCATTTGACCCTTAACCCTCAACGTTCATAAGGGTTACTTGACCTTCTTAAAGGTCGTTTGACCCTCAAAACTATTTGATCCTAACACTGCGGGGACAAATGAAACATCAGGGAAAACGACCCACTTAACACAATTCAGGAATTTTTTTTAAATTTTTAATTGAGGGTCAAACGACCCTTAATGACGTTAAGGGCTCAAGGTTAAATGGTCCCAAGGGTCAAACGACCCTTAAGAACGTTTGAACTTGAAGGTCAAAGTGTTTTAAAGGTCAAACGACCCTCAAAGACTCCTAGAGTTGAGGGGCAAATGACCTTTATGATCACTCGCCTCTGACCCTTTTGACCCTCACGACCATTTGACCCTTAATGATGTTAAGGGCTCAAAGTCAAATGGTCCCAAGGGTCAAACGACCCTTAAGAACGTTTGAACTTGAAGGTCAAAGTGTTTTAAAGGTCAAACGACGCTAAAAAAAACTCCGAGAGTTGAGGGTCAAATGACCTTTATAATCACTCGCCTCTGACCCTTTTGACCCTCAAAACTCTTTGACCCTGAATTAAAACAAAAAAAATCCCCGAATAGTGCTAAATACCGGTTTTCCCTTCAATAATCTCGACAATGAGTGATATCACGAGAAAATGTCACACATTATTTTCCAGTGAATTTCACTAGCTGCAAAAGATTTTCCCCCTGAACTCATGAGTTGCAAAAATATTCTCGAAATGCTGTGAGCAAAAATTTTCAACTCCTCTCCTTCAACCACAAATATTATAAATAATTGTGACATTCCGAGGGGTGGAGACTCTAGAAACATCGAAAACTCCAACTCAATGTTCTTCTAAGATTATGTAAAGACAGAGGAAATGGGTTTTGCATTTTTGTTGGTCTTCCTGGGAATCAATGTTCTAGTATTTTAGAAGCCAACGAAAATTAGTTAGCAATTTTACATTCAGAATCAATCAAGCAGTCATTATAAATCGTGTTCATCTCGTGGTATCAATCAAGCTTTCCTGCTTAAAATTGCTCAGTAATTTTCACTATAAGAATTGTCAACTATTTATTAGTTTTATTTTTTTTAAATTAGTATCTGTTACTTCACTCAGTTACACCCAGTTTAAACTGTTTTCATTGATTATTCATTTTTATGGCAATAAGTTGTGGATTTAGAGGTGAATAAATTGAACAAGTGATCGGAACAACTCATGAAAATGAAAGATTGAGAAAATTATTCCGAATTTATCGATTTCAATTGAACCCAACGAATGTGGCATTGGCACTTGCTGTCATAATTAATTATTATTGGTCTGTTCCCGAATGTGATATAAATGTATTTGCAACAAAAAACAGAGTGAGATTTCCCAATAAAAGAAGAATTTAATTCAAAAGACGAGAGAAAATTGAGAAAAAAAATTAATAAAAAATTTATTTTGATCAATTTTTTTCATTGAATCATTGTCATCCTTCGAGCAGTGCCTTTAGGAGCCTACATGACGCGGTCTATAAATAAAATGGAAGAACAATAAACAAAAAGAGAAAGGAAGAAGCAATAAAAAAAGGCAGAAATCAAGGAAAATTTCAATTTCTTGAATTTTTCATAATAAAAAATGTCTTTAAATCTCACTAGTTACACGTGGATCACGAAATATCAGCCAAAAGTTAATTATAATTGATGTTGTGGCGCTCAAAATATCATCCTGACCATTGTTTATAATTAGGTGAATGATCTTAATGAGTTTATCCATTTGTTTATGAAGGGATAGAAGTTCGGTTCGGATTGATTTGCAAATATCTCGGGAACTACTGGGTTTAGGGGGAAGTGTATCTGAGCCTCTTTTGGAGCCCGTGAAATTCCCTGCAAACAATTTCTTATGATATTTGTCAATAGAACGACCCGTTGGGGAGATATTTGCGAACGAGTCCGGAAGATTAGACTCTTCGTTCGTTTTTTATAACTTGAGTAGTGATTTCAATTATTTGAACAACATATCCTGCGGAAATTGTACATAATATGGAGTAATAGTGGATTTGAGGCGATGTGGTGGATGACCAGTCAACAAAACTGTGAGAATTCTCCGGAAAATAGAAGGGAATAGCTCAGAAAATAGGGGAGAGTGGGGCAAAATGAAACACCAGGGGAAACGATTATTTAGGACAATTCGGGAAATATTTTTTTTAGTTGGGGGTCAAATTGTCACAAGGGTAAAACGACCCTTGTAGATGTGCAAAGGGTCATTTGAGGGCTAAAGGTCAAATGACCCTTTGTGATCACAATTCTTCAACTCATTTGGCCCTTAAAACCACTTGAACCTTAAAACTCTAACTATTTTTAAGGGTTGTATGGCCCCTAAGGGTCATTTGATCCTCACAACTATTTGATCCTGAGAAAATCAAGATGAAACGTCATTTTTTTGTTTTTAGTCAAGGGTCAAATGGTCGTAAGGGTCAAACGACCCTTAATGCCTTTTGGAGTTGAGGGTCAAACGACCTTTGAAGACGTATAGGGCTAAAGGTCAGATGACCCTTTGTGATCCCTTTGCATCAACCCATTTGACCCTTAAAAACATTTGATTCTGAAACAGCAGAACAAAATGAAACACTATTTTTTTTGTTTTTAGTTAAGGGTTAAATGGTCGTAAGGGTCAAACAACCTTGAAGGCTTTTGGGGTTGAGGGTCAAATTGTCATAAGGGTCAAACGACCCTTAAAGGCTTTTGAAATTGACGGTCAAATTGTTTTAAGGGTCAAACGACCCTTGAATATGTCTAAGGTGAGGGTCAAATAACCTTTGTTGATCAGTATGCTATAATCAGTTTAACCCTTAAGGTTCTTTAACCCTCAACCAAAAACGAAAAAAGGTTTTTCAGATGCAGACATTTTCCTTGGTGTTTCATTTTGCCCCGCTCTCTCTTCTATGATAATTTCATAAATAAAAAAGTAGAAGTGTTTGCTCCCACCTCCAAATGCCTCTCACTGTCTCTTGCTTTAATTTGTCGACGCAATCAAGCCCCGAAGATAACTTATCAACAACAATGATAAATCAAGAGAAATAAAATTTAAGGGGAGGAAAACGACAGCAATACGTCATTATTGGAAATATAGAATGTGGATGGAATGGGGGTGACGCATAATTTCTGGAGATTCAGAGGTATAACTGAGAAGATGAGTGGAGAGAATGAGGGAATCATTGTAACGATCATCATGTACCTTGAAAGTATAGAACTTTGTTATGTTAACGTCTGTAATAAAATAATAAAAACAAAAAAACATCATAAAAATTTGTGGAGATTTTCGTCCAACAGTTATCCTTAGAGGCGACAGTTCAATGTAGTTTCATTCAAATTTCTCCCGCGCTCTCATGAAAACCCCCCATTTCCCTATTGGTCTCCCTAAATTCGAAAAATCCTACCCCTCCATCGCCAAACCCCCCTCTCGCCCCCCAAAACTCCAAAACCTCTCAAGAAAACCCTGTCACTCCCCCCAACCCTTCACCCTCCTCCCTACACCCCTCACCGCCTCCTCCAACCTGCCCCCTAAAACTCGAATAATTTCTGTTCAATCAAATAACTACAATTTTTTTTCTAAAAATTCTATCGTTTTAAACAGGAAAAACTAATATTCCGCCTTCTCCCTCGCTCTCATTGACCCCGCCCCCTTAACCCCCCATTTCCCGCACCCAATTCAAGTCTTCCTAAATCCGATAACTCTTACCCCCTCCATCCCCAAACACTCCTCTGGCCGCCAAAAACTCCCAAGCCCTTTAAAAAAAATCCCATCACTCCCCATCACCTCCCACCAAACCCCTCGCCTTCCCCCCTACACCACTCACTCACCCCCTCCCCCAAATTGACCCGTAAAACCCCAACTAATTTTAGTTCAATTAAATGTCTACAATTTTTTTTTCTAAAATTACTATCGTTTTAAACAAAAAAACTAACATTCCACCCTC